ACGTTGTTAGATGGCTCCGTATTATTCAAAGGACATTCATTTCCGTCGGGGCAGAGAAGGCCACAAACAGAACAGAAACCTCTGAGTTTCTCGTAGTGAAATTGCAGGACTGAAGTTTTACCACCGAAGTTGAAAATTCTCTGGAAACGCAAAGGCGTGTCGATGTTCCAAAGGAGACGAACACCAACGTAATCAACATGTAGTGCTCCATCGCCATTGAAGTCAGTCTCTAAGAATTGTCCCATCACACCGATGCGAATCACCATTCACAATGATAGAAATTCAAGCGGAATCCCCTTAATTTGTACCCAAAAGGGAATGCTCTTGAGATCTTCGTATGTATGAGATGGTGTCCATTTCTGCAATGAACACATCCATTCGCTGAAAGACCATAGGCCTCTACGAAGCACTGAATTCATCGATTCCTCAAATTGAAATAAAAACTGAATCTTCTGATTGGTGATGATTCGACTAACAACTTCCTCCCCAAAGTCTCGGTAAAGTTGACATCATCGCTCGTAAATTCTGCTTCCTTGGGTTTATGGGTTTGGAAACTAGACTGAATCTCGTTTCCTCTGCCGCTGCAACACAGAGATTGTCTGGTAGATTATTATCTTCATCGTTGATTCCCAGTGAAATCTCATGAAGTTGTTTGCGTAGTTTTTTTTTCGTCTAAAGAGGTTTTTATTACGTTAAGATTGTACAATCAGAGTTTACAAAAGATAGTAGAAAGGAGGGGCAACAACGAAATAAACTCCATTGATTTGGAGAAACAGCTCCTTGTTTGGCAAGAAGATCAGCACATCTATTTGTTTGGCGATTCCGATAAGTGAAGAGAATTGCTGAAAACATTGATGCCCAATTCTTGATAGTATTGATGTAGTGTTGGAGTTTCAGGTTATTGTCGGCGTTGTTGATGAGTCGCACTATGTTGATATTGTCGCCTTCGAAAATCACTTTGGTATAGCCTAAAGACCATGCTGACTGTAAAGCCCAGATAAGAGCCGAGCATTCCGCTTCTGCCGGGGTGAAACGACCGTGATATTTACCCATTCCTCCATCTAAAAACTCACCATGTGAATTTCGTATGATCTAGCCCAGACCCGAACAACGGGTATTTATATGATGGGAAGCATCGTAGTTACATTTTGTCCATCTGAAAGGAGGGGTTGTCCATCGCGGTGTACAGGATCGTTGAGTAGGATGTGGAAGACCAGATGGAATAATTGAAACAGCATGGGAGTTGTCTATCCATTCTGTAGTCGCTTCCGTCGCACGCTTGAGTAGATCCTCTATCGGTAGAGTATGATTATTAAAAACGAGGCCATTTCTACTTTTCCAAAATTGCCATAGTATCCAGTATGGTAGTAGTTTGTGGTACTGAAGCGTGGACATTTGAGAGCTCATTAAAATCAGTAAACTCAGCTTGTCTTCGAAGGGTATATGGGGTCCATAATATGGCGAGTAGGAAGTTGAGTGTGTCTCTAGACTGCTTGTGCGTAAGGGCATGAGAAAAAAACATTTCACTGGTTTCGTCATGGCTGCAGCACCTGGGCATAACGAGTCCATTGGTATATGACGGTGACAGAGGTTAACAAAAATGGCAATCGCCCGTGAAGATATCCGCCAGAGAAAATGGTGTAGTTTCCCCGGTAAATCAAGTTGCCAAATATTCTTTGCTAAGTTCTGGCTTGACGCAAGCGGTGGTGTTTCTGTGTTTTCTGATTGTATTGCCAAATGATAACCTGATTTCACAGAGTAGATCCCATTGGTTGTGTGACGCCAAATCATAGAATCCGGGGAAGAGTACGGGGGGATAAAAATCTGTTGAATGTAAATATGTCTTGTTGCTCCACTAAATCTGTAAGTGTGTCTTCATCCCATTATCGTTGGTGAGGGTTAATGAGCGTAGATACTGGTAGTGTTGGGTTTGTATATGGTAAGAGACGCGGGGCGCGTGGTGGGTATGTTGGTAGCCAGGCAGAGTTAATCTGAGTTGCAAGACCATCACATATTTGAGTTTGAAGTCCAAGATTTAGGAGGTCGCAGCCAAAGAGTAAAGATTGCCAACCGTATGATGGTTGTGATCCTCGTGTTGCAGTTAGAAGTGAGCCAATTTTGAAATATTTTCCTTTTAAGACTCTGTGGAGGAGGCAATGAGGTCGTTGTAAAAGTTTCCAGACTTGGTTCCCAAGCAGTGCCTGATTAAACTTGTGTAAGTCTCTGAATCCAAGGCCTCCCTGAGCCTTTGCAGTAGATAACTTCCTCCATGAAATCCAAGACATCTAACGTTTATTTAGTGTTCCGCCCCACCAGAAATTAGATAGTAGACTGTCTAATTCAGAGCAGATCTCCATTGGTAAGCGGAAGCAGTTCATTGAGTATACATGCATTGCAAAGGCCACAGATTTGATGAGGACTTCCTTTCCCGCGGGAGATAAGAAACGGTTCTGCCATCCATTGATCTTACGTATAACATTTGCTTTTATATACTGAAACATTTCTTTTTTTTGCGTCTGAATTGTTCCGGTAACCCAAGATACTTTCCGCCCCCTCCAATGTTTGGTATTTGCAGGAGATGTTTGATATGTTCCCGTGTATGGTGAAACACTCTTTCTCCAAACATAATCGCTGATTTTTCAAAGTTTATAATCTCACCAGAGGCCCGGCCATAAACTTGAAAAATATGAGCTAGATTTAGGCTGTTTCGGTGATTAGCTTTCACAAAGAAGAGAGAATCATCAGCAAAAAGTAGATGAGAAAGAGGGGGACCACCGATCCTAAGTCTAATAGGGTCTATATCGTGGTTTCGTGTTGCATGACCCAATAAAGAACTGAGTACATCAGCACAAAGTATAAAGAGATATTGGGACAGTGGATCACCTTGTCGAAGGCCTCTTGAAGGTGTAAATTTGCCATATGGACTCCCATCAATCAATATGGAGAAGGATACAGAGCGTACACAGGTCATTGTCATGTGGATCCATTGTTCTAAGAATCCTTTTTTGCGAAGAACAGCCTCTAAGAAATTCCATTCAATGCGATCATAAGCTTTTCTGATATTCGTTTTAGCGGCCATATAGGATTTTGCGCATCTCTTACGAACCCGTAAAGCGTGGAGTGCTTCGTGTGCAAGAAGAACATTATCAGTGATTTGTCTTCCTGGAATAAAAGCTGACTGATTGTCAGAAACCACTCGCGAAAGAATGCATTTGAGACGAAAGACTAATATTTTGGAGATAACTTTGTAGAGGACATTACAAAGTACAATCGGTCTAAAATCTTTCATAGTAATTGGCGTATCAATCTTCGGAATGGGACAGATGTTGGTGTGGTTAATAGTAGCCTCCATATTGCCAGTATTGAAGAAAAGCTTTGTGGCTTTAATGACTTCAGGTCCGACAATGTCCCAATATTTTTGAAAAAAGTCTGCAGTCAATCCGTCAGGACCTGGGGCTTTAGTCCCTTCGATGGAGAATATGGCTTTACGGACCTCCTCTGGCGTGATTTCTTGTGTGAGTAGATCATTTATTTCGGTAGATACAACTGGAGAGATATGTTGTAAAGCTCTCTCGGTCTAGGTAGAATTGTTTGTAGCTTGAAAAAGATCTAAGAACTGTCGTGTGCCTTCTTTTGCAATCTCTCTATTTCCGTAAATATCATTGCCATTATGATCTTTGATTGTTGATATTTTATTTCCTGCTCGTCGATTCTTGGTAGAGGTATGGTAATATCTTGTATTACGATCCCTTTTTGTGAGCCAAGTATTGCGACTTTAATAAGCCAATAGGATTCTTCATCCTTGTAAGCACAGAGGAGTTGTGATCTCAAATCATGAATCATCTCAGTAGTGTAAGCAGAATCAGAATGTGCAAGGTCAATTGTGTGTATCAGATCCTTGATTCGCTTCACCGAGTTTGAAGGCGTTGTACGTTTCCAGTCAGATATATATCGTCTGCATTTTCTTATACGATCGGAGATTGGCTGGATACTTGTCAAAGGAACAGAGAGCCAACCATCACGGATTATATGTTCGAAATCTGGATGTTGAATAAAACGGGCATCATAGTGAAACCTTTTCCTACCATGATCACGTTCTTTTCGAATGAAGTTGTTTACGTAGTTTACTCGCCATTATTAGGATAAACAAAGAAAAAGGATTTATTTTGTACTGATCTTTACATCTAGGAAAACAAACGACACAGAGTATAAATAGGAAAGTCGATAACATTTTTGGAACAGTTATCTGATTAACTGATTCTGAACAAACCGCCAATTGCCAACAGAAAACACTTTTCGGAGAGAGATAATGAAGGTTGAGAAAAAAAAGTTGCGATCGCCCAAAAAATCACCTTTTTTTCTCTGAGTTTCATTTTTTTTAGTTATTGTTTTTAATGTATTTTAAAATGGTAAAATAAACTTAAAATTTATAATTTTAGGTTTTACATAAGATTATAATAATTTTAATAATAAACTGTATAACAACTTTTACGAATTCACTAAAAGTTATCAAAATTCTCCAGAACTCATTAAAAGTCGAATCATACAAAATATCTGGTTTTAACAAACTTCCTTAAATATGTTTTTAATGATTAAAATGGAAATTTATTTTCAAAGTAAAACTATATTTATTTTAAAATTTCGGGGCTTTTATAGCCGAACAACAAAACGACCCAAGACCTCTTGGGCCCAACGATATAAGAATTTATAATACCCATGACTTGCTTAGCGGAAAACCGAAAGACTGTATATACATTCTCTCTCTGTATATTAAATAATTAAATGAAATAAAATATTACCTTTGGAACCGAGGCGCCGTGTTATTGCTGGTTTATCTTCTTCAATCCGATCATCGATTAGCTTTCTTCACCTGATTCGTTTCTTCGCGATCAGAGCACAGGTTTTTCTACTAAGAATCTCAAAACAAGTGTTCTGAATTTGTAAATTTGTAAAAGTTCTCGTGATATCGAAATCGTTGTATTATTCCCTCAGCGATTCTGATGAACCGTACAATTGAAATTAAAGCTAGGTTCTTGATTCGGGTTCAATAATTTTTGAGTTTCTAGGAAACTGTTGTTGATTAATTATGTTATAAGAAGAAGTATCGGAAAAAATTGAGTTAATTTTTGTTTTCCTACCCTTATATTGGCTTCTTACGCGTAGAAGTAGATTCCGGATCAGTTCCTTTTTGTGAGTTTGAATGTAATCATGGTCTATGAGATTTGTACTTATTTATTGCTTAGTAAGATTTTCAATTTTAGCGATTTTGCATCTTTTGCAGATTTTAGATCTTAGTGGTTAGGTATGGCTACCCTCAATGGAAAAGCTTCTTTGTATTCTCCTGAGAAAGAAAACATCAAGTTCAAGTATCAGGATGACGATGACGATGACGATGACGATGAATATGGAGATTTACGTAAATGGTCTGTTCAATCAATCCCCACGAAAAAGGAGCCTGAATATCCGATTATCGACTCAGGAGATTACATCGATGATGGATACGATTCAGCTGAAGAGCACTCTACGCCAATTCAAAGAAATGGGGCCCCTGAAGTAAACTTGAAAAACGTGTTCACCGGTTTGATCGCCATTGTTACAGGGCGGAACAAGGACTCGTTAGATCAGAGTACCCCTTCATCGAATGTGTCGTTCCTCGGCTCTAGCAAGAACGGCGATACTTACGTTCACTCGTCGGTTTACATACCGAGCGCGCCGCCTCTTCTTGAACCTAGCGGGATCAACTACAGTGTCTACAAGGACTTGCTTGAAGCTGAGCCTCCTCAATGGCTGCCTGATAGTTCAACTACTACCTGCATGCAGTGTTCTTCTCCTTTTACCGCAATCACATGCGGAAGACATCATTGTCGGTTCTGCGGAGGGATATTCTGTAGGAACTGTTCAAAAGGGAGGTGCTTGATGCCGAGTAGGTTCCGGGAAAGGAGTCCTCAGAGAGTTTGTGATTCCTGCTACGAGAGGCTTGATCCTTTGCAAGGTGTTCTCATTAACTCGATTAGTAACGCTGTGCAAGTAGCAAAGCACGATGTTGTTGATTGGACTTGCGCAAGAGGATGGTTGAATCTCCCCGTTGGTCTTTCCATGGAAGATGAGATATACAAGGCTTCTAATACTTTGAGAGGTTACTGCCAGGTTTGAATTTTCATCCATTTTCTGATTAAGATATAAAATTGAGTAGCATGCGGGTTCGGTTAGTTCAGGTATTTCGCTTTGGGTAGTTCGGTTACCGAAAGTAACCCAAGTTTTTGGTTTTTTTGTTCAAACTTGGTTACAGTTGGATATATTCGAGTAAATGTGGTTAGTTCGGTTCCAATTTTTTAATATATTTTAAATAAATTAGGTAGAATTCGGTATGGTTAGGTATATCTTGGTTTAGAACAAATTAGAAAAATACGGTTTATCAGTGTCGAATCAATTTTTGAAATATACTGCCGATTGGCTACTTGGCTTAACTATTCAACCAAAAACCGAAAATCTCGGTTTGGTTCTGTTTGAAAACTTCGGTTTGGGTAAAAGTCTCAGGCCTAGAATTGAGTATCAAATGTCTGATGAACTCAGTTATTCGAAATATGCAGGTAGCAAGATTTGACCCTGAGAAATCCATACCGCATGCAGTTCTTAGTCGAGCTAAAGGGTTGGCAATCTTAACGGTCGCTAAAGCTGGGGCTTTGCTGTCATACAAACTCGGGACCGGTCTGGTAATATCTCGGAGATCAGACGGGTCATGGTCTGCGCCATCCGCGATACTTTCAGTAGGTCTAGGATGGGGTGCTCAGGTAAAACAGTATCTTTTTTACATTCGATACATACCTGTAAGAGTAAAGACGTTGAGAATTTTTGTACACTCTTTTATCAGATCGGAGGCGAGTTAATGGACTTCATAATAGTGCTGCATGATTTGAAAGCGGTGAAGACGTTCTGCAGCAGAATGCACTTCTCTCTAGGCGCGGGATGCAGCGCAGCTGCAGGACCTCTAGGTAGAGTGATGGAGGCTGACCTTAGAGCTGGTGACAGAGGCTCCGGCGTCTGCTATACTTACAGTCGTAGCAAAGGTTTTCCCCATCTCAACTTTGACTTTTCTCATTATCTATAATTTGGCCAGCCTTGTTACAGGGGAAATTGAGTTACCTCGTGTTAAGTTTTCTTCTGTGAATCTTGAACCTTAAAAGATGTTTTTGTGTGAACAGGGGCGTTTGTGGGAGTATCTCTAGAAGGAAATGTTGTGGCGACAAGAAGGGACATGAACGTAAGGTTCTATGGCGATCCATACCTTTCTACATCGGACATTCTACTTGGGATGGTGGATCAACCCAAAGCGGCTGAACCATTGTACACTGCGCTCAGAGACCTCTACGCAGGATTACGACCGTAAAACTCCATCCACCTTACAGAAACTCTTTTGTATATAGAGCTTTTTTAATATTCGTTTGATTATAATTAAGTGTACATGTACATACCATTTGTTTCTCTTTAGAACGACATATCTGCCAACGTTTTTAGCATTTGTTTAACATTTTAAATCCCATCTTTGTTTAATCTTTGACAAGTCTTTCTTTTCATTCAAATTCATTAACCTTGTGCATATTTGCTCTTCTTCGTTCAGTTTAATACTGTGGTTAACTCATTTGAAAACATTTAGAATTTCATTATAAAGAGAGAAGAAACAAGAAAGACATGCATTGCAAAATCTCGTGAAAATGTCAGAGGCATCAATCATTTGGTTTCCAAAACCAAAAGTAAAATCAAAAGAAGAAACTTGAAGCTAAGGGGCAAGCAAGCCATTAGAGGTCTTCTGAGACTTCTTCCTGTAGTTAGAGACGCTACAGTTTGGGCACACATATTCCAACCCATCCGTTTTTGCATAATCCTGTCATATCATTCATGTGTATCCAATCAGTACACACACAAGGCCATTGATGCTACTTACGAGTGTGTGAGTGTTTGTTTGCTTACCTTGAAGGCGCCAAGGCCGGGCCTTCGGTCACATCCGAAATGAGCCCACTCTCCACACGACCCACAGTTCACCCAGTCACCCGCCGTGCTACTGTTTTAACCAAACGCAAGAAACAATGCGATCAAGTTATTTAACATGTCTCCTTATGCGAGAGATAGAGAAAGAGGGTTCTTCAACGTACCTGCGACATATTAAGCAACACTCTCCATCTACATCATCATGAGCATACTCATACTCAAGTAGATACGTCTCATAGTGTCTTTTCAGCGTATTGCCCACTCCCTGCCAAAATAACCCCAGAGATAGTTATTTAGACCATCAACTCTCATGATTTTTAAATACACCAAGTGATGAGATTAGAAATCAAATATTTACAGTCATTCGGTTTGTGAGTGTGTGGTTCCGCATCTTTGAGAAAACTTGTCCTTTCCAGTTTATCCCATTCCCTACGTGGAAACCTCCTCGTGATACAACCTGCAAAATCTCTCTTTGGCTCACCAAATCCCACCAAATGTTGATAAAAATCAAATCACTAGGTCACTACCTCTCGGTACAAGTTGAATAGATCAAGCCGTTTTGAGTTGAGAACAGCGTCCGGAAACTCTGCTAGTCCCCCTGGAGGAACAAGCCGGCTATGCCCTCGTATTATCAGAAACTGCATCACATCCCTCAGAAATTCCTCCTACATATAGACACAGAATCATTATGAGCCACAAAGAAAGAAACATCAAAATATTTCAAGAGGGGAATTGATGCAAAACCTCCGAACAAGTCTGAATATGCGCTCTTCCACAGTCATGTTTCTTGAGAGGCAGAGGGTTTAGTGAGATGATTTGCTTCCTCTGGTAGGAACCAGAGAAAGCTTTACGGTGAGTTACCGGAGTGCCACCTGATGCACCATGCTTTGGAGGCATAGGCAAGCTTCCTTTGGCGTGGTCACCATCAAATCTTCCAATTTCAGAGTAACCAGAGAAAGGTACCATCTTATGTCTACGAGTGTGAGGTATTGGTCTCAGAGCAGCCACGTTGATTTTCCTTGATGTAGGTCCTCCGTTTTCGAATTCCTGGATGAAGAAAATGAAACTTTTCCCAGATTAGATTTGACATCAAAGAATCTAGTTCGTAAACGAAGAGTAATTGACATTCTGCGTAGAGTAGTTTCAACCTGCGGCATTCTAAACAGTACCTTAATTTCTCTGCATGGCTCGGATCTTTTTCTGGTTGGCAAGGGAGGCGTTAACCAGTGAGGGATTTTGGTTAGAAGAGCATCATGGTTTGAAGTATTATCATTGATCCGTCGGCCGCAGAAGAAAAGTAAACGTTCTGCATCATCTTTCTCAAAGGAAGTAACAGACAACCCTTGAATGCAGGCTACTCCAAGGACAACCAAACTGCGGTATGACACATCCGGCGCCAGCTGTTTTAAAACCTGCCGAAAAGCAAAAACTAACATTTTCTTAGCTAACCGTTGCCAAGAGAAAAGTCATAAAACGCAAAACTTCCTGAGAAGTCGCAGAGAATGTGCATCACATGGCTATACACTTTACATGTAAAAGCATCATATATAGAGAGCTTAAGCAATAAAGCATGGAAAATGGTACTGTGACATCCCAAAAGTCGAGAAAGTTGATAACCCTTCATTAATAATATCTGTAAAACTCTTGTCACTACTTGAACTGACTAAATTGTCGAGAAACTTGGCAACAAGGTGCATGAGATAATTGACTGAACGAGAGATTACTATCTACAACAAATCTAAGTAGAGCAAAGAAAGAGATTATTAACCTGAAGAGCCCATGCTGGAACTTGCATTGAAACTTCACACACACTTGCCCCACAAGCTATGGAGGCAGATCTCCGAGGCTCAGAGAAAACCCGGTTTGTTTCTTTTGAGTTCACCACTGAATGGACTAATTGGATCTTCTCAACCACCTCATGTTTTATGTGAGTCTCCAAAAGCTAAGATTTACAAAGGAGAAACTAATAAATCCCATTGCACATATATGAAGAGCAGAACCCAGTTTTTAAAAAGTGTAATCTCTTGCCTGGTCGCTGAAACAGGTCTGCGCATTTCCAGACACCAGCATTGATATGTGAGCAGAAGAACATGTTGAGATATCACAACGCATGGTCACTACACCGCGAGTAAATGTTCCTGCTTGAAGAGGAGGTGCTGGAGCACTGCATTTTCCATTCCGATGAGCGAAAGATATGAAAAGTAACAAAATAAGTCGTAAGTGCATAGGTAAAAAATCGTAGAACAACGGTTATTTGGCCATATAAAACACGTACCTAGAACGGTTATGTAGCTTACTTCCTCGCATCTGGAACAACGCAATAGTTAAGTTATCATTTGAAAGGATTAATGTATGTATTACTAAATTTATCTAGTATGGCCACTAGAATGGAAACTTTAAACTGACGAGTTACACTCACTTCTATTCTCAAGAGAGCATTGAGTCCATCGACCAAAGATCCAAGTAAAAATGTATCCTGAAATATCAAAAAAGCATTGGGACTGATGATAGCATAATGAAATACTAACATTTGCTCAAACAAGCAAGCATCATAAAATGTGGGAGAAGGTGAGCAAAAACCCACCAGTGTGCATGGTGGTCCACACAAAAGAAACCTTACGGTTACATCTTCATCATATATCTTTATTGACGGGAGGCTCTCTAATGAATTTTCCTCTTCTAGTTCATCGGCTCCCGGTGAAACCACATCAATCTTTGGAGGGTCTCCAAGCAAGTAGGGTCCCATCTCATAATTCATTTTACGTTTGCTGTCAGAAGGAAGTACGGCGTTGTTACTCGTACAGTAGAGTCGGAAAGACGCTTCTGCAACCTGGAACGCATCCCATGTATCGCTGCACGAACTGCATTTCCGGAAAACGTGACATTAACTATATTTGTAGATAAGAGGGAAAAAAGCATACAATTTATATGTGATATAGACTCAAAATTAAGGCTTGTTTCAATATCAGATGCTCGAGTAAACAATTACCTTTGTATGATCGAAAACAAAGCATGGCGGAATTGGCAGGCTACGTATTTTGAGAACACACTTTTCCAATAAATTACATACTGAACACCCTGCAAACAAAAGCAAAGCACCAATGGACAAAACTGATTAGAAGGACGAGTGAAAAGTAATCAAATAAAAGACTCTCCACGGAATAACTCGCAGATTTATACGATTATCTAGCAATTAGGTGACCGTCAAGGAAAACAGTCATTCAAAAGGTCCTCTACATTTTAAATATAGCTTTCCAAGACTCGTTGACCATAGGTGAAACAGATAGCAAGAATAATACAGGAAAGGAAAATAAAAGCAAAACAAAGCTAGATATTTATCAAGAATGGTGTACCTTAGAGTAAAGTACTTGAGCTAATTCTTCACCATTCGGAAGCTCAAGGTAAACCTGAGACAACAATATGAAATCAAAGCCTATTAGTATCTCATTAAACAACCATTACAAACAAAAACTTCACCAGTACAGATTATTAGGTTCTTTTTTTTTTTGACGACTGATTATTAGGTTCTTGTTATGAAAAGTTTTATAACACTCAGGTCGAGAACCCTAGAGAAAAAAAAGATATTTTGCGGCATCAACCAAGCTTCAGCTGGTAAAACGGAACTCCTAATCTAAAAACGAGCAATGTAAAACGACGGATGCTACCCACCGTTGTCGGTAATGTGGAGCCAAACAGAGTAACCAAGGCATCAGGAGTAGAAATATCAGCATATCCCAACACTAAGGGACCAACTTCATCACTATCTCCACTCTGCTCCCCTTGCAAGTACACAATATCCGGTGCTGAGGAGTTAATAGCAACCTGGAACTCCTCAGTAGTAGGATTATTCAGTACCTGAAACTACAAGACACCATATGTTTTCACATCTCCATAAAATTCACTGGATATCAGCTTAGAACTAAGGTTTCTCTTGAAGTCTACAAATTTCGGAATCATACAAGCTACAAACTACAGTTTTCAACATTCATAACGAGAACCCAACTTAGCTAAACATTGCAAAACTTACTTAAGGTTCCCAATTTCAACCAACAATCTAGCAAATCATATAAGAGTATCAAAGAGATTCAAAGACAAAGATGTTATCTTTTTACCTTGAGTCGCCCTGAAGAAGAGAGATCCGGAAAAGGGTATTTGGGTTGATGAGCTTCAGCTTTCTGGTTATCGCTAAGCTCTCCACAAATGACTGCCACTATATTACAACGGTTTCTCGAAAACCCTTGACCATGAAACATCATCAAAGCATTACCAAACTTTATATCACTAGGAAACTCGATGAAGAAGTAACCAAAGGTAACGAAATCAATCGAATTGAAGCTCAAAAAAGAACGAAACCCTAAAGAAATTGAACGAGCAAGTTCGTCCTCAACCCACTGGTATCAAAGGCACGAACAATCGAAGTACCAAAAAAAACCCTAATTTCTATAACTCGTAGTAGAGGAAGAGAAAAAGGAGAAATCAAGGAGACCCAGAAGAGAAGAACGATTTTATTGGAATATCGAAATCTAAATGAAGAGGCCCATCATTCACAAAGGAAATTTCTTGTTTGACCGTGAAAAAGGAAACATAAATCTAAATGAAGAGGTTAGAATCACAAACATACATAAAATTAGAAAAAAACTGAAGAACGATAAAGACATCCGATTTTTTTTTTAAGAGCTATTAGGCTACAGTGTTCGTGTTTCCCATCGAAACCCCAAAATCAAAGCAAAATTAAACAAAAATAAAAAGGACAGAGAAGCTAAACTAATCAGATTAATTCCTCAGGCAGGCAGAAAAAGGTTTTGTTTTTATTGACATGTTTTAATCCTTCATTAATTAAAAGCTTTCGATTCAACACACGTTGATCAAAAACCAAAGAACATTATGTGATATTCAAGAAGATATTGAATTATTTTTTTTTCTTTTCTAATTTCCAAATTCGTTCATTTGTTTATCTTTTTTTTCTCTGCAGTTCGAAGTTCTACACTTTCATCATCGTCTAGTTGTGAGAGATAATTACAACCATAGGCAATTTATAAGTTTGTGTTTACAATTAAAGGTACTTTAAAACATTGGTGTACTTTGACAAAATAAAAAGACTAAATTATCCTCATTTACAACTTAACCTATTTGATTTCTGGACAATTCTTCGACCGTTCATTTTTCAATTGGAGTTGGCTAAAGTGATAGTTTCTATTGCTTGCTTAGAGAGAGATGACGAGAGAGAAAGTGGTTTTAGTTTTGTGGGGGATTAATTTAGGGACAGCTTTATTCACTTAGCTTTCTTAGTGAGAGGGAATCTTTCTCCGATCTTCAGATTCTCTTTGAGAGGTTACCTTTCCACTTTACCCCGCTCACCTGCTCTGGTTCGTATCCTCTACTTATTACACCGAATGCCGTGGCGGCGGTTTCGGCTCTGCACCTGCGGTGATAAATATATGGTTCGATCTTTTGATGTTTGTTTTCTTTTTTATACCAAAATTCCTGCAGATTTGATTCCATCGTATTTCACCATATTCTATCTTCATCTTTTCATTTCTGATAAGGAAATTGAATCAATTGGTGGCTTTTTCTAATACATCAGAGATGGACAAGGGACAATTATTGCTGCATAATTATTCATGGACAATTACTCGTGGATGAATTGTAACAGAAGAAATCAAAATGAAATGTGAGGTAACAAATATCTTTTCTGTTTTACCAGTTAAACATCAAATCTATCTAAATTTTTCTAGATTTCTCAAAAATTTTAAACCAAAAAACAGTAGTGTATCTACACAGATATCCATGTAGATATGCTCATATCTGTGTACAAATATGTCCATATATGTTTACTTTAATTTCATGTTTTCCTATTTATAAATCTTTGTCTACAATAGTTTGTCCATATAGTTTTTTGAATGGTGTTGTGTTAAGGCACCTATACTTATTTAATAGAAAATCATATCTTTGTATAAATGTTTCCATATATTCTGTTTTAATTTTGTATTAACATGTCCATTGTAGCCTGTTCATACGAGGTTGTCTTTTTAAATATATCCACGCATGTATATCCATGTGGATATGTCCATATCTATGTATTTTTGCTTTAAGTTCATGTTTTTCTATCTATATGTCTTTGTCCACAATAGACTTTTCATATAATCTCTTTATCTTATGGGTTTCAGGTAAATTATATGGATTAGAGCATAGATAAGAGTAAAGAAAATGAAGAGCTGTCTTTGTAACTGTTCTTAGAATCTCACAAGACAAAGAGATTATGTGGGAATTAAAATCTCACACATTTTTTTTAGCTTTGATTGTGTTGATGTAAAAGTTTGGGTCTTAAACAATATTATTAATTTTTTAATTAGATTTTTGTGATGAATATGTTTGTTACAACAACATTGCTTGTGCTCTGCATAAGAGTATTGGTCTTTCATGATAAAATTAGACACAAATATAGACTAAAAAGATTATTTGTGGATAGATTATAATGGATACTATGTTATGTACGAGATCATGTGGACAATTTATAATATAAATCATAGACATGAAGGCATAGATAATAACTAGCAAATACGATATGCCCTCATGTTTTTGTATCCACGCATTTCTGTCCATGAGTTTCTGTATACATGTTTGTGTCATCACATTTCTGTCCATGCCTCTATGTCCATGACATTTTACACTTTGTGTGTATGTATTTGTCTGCAGTTTTTCTAGTTCTCTTCCTAAAAGAAGCTTTAGTGATCTGAATCCATCGCCATGCAAATAGGCATTATAAATCATTATCTTATCTTCTCTCACAACTTTATGTACATTAACTATTTTATAACGATTATTTTTATCCAAAATAGATCAACCTATCATTCGATCTCCCAATACATTTTCATCAGCTATTCACATCGTTGCATCCACTTTCTGCATCCACAGTCATTGCTTCCACACATCACTGCATCCACGACATCCACATATTTGCATTCACATCATTACATTCACATAGCTGCATCAAGCAATCCAACCATAAGATAAGGTTTTCATCTTTTAGTGATCATTTGTATGTGTTCAAATTTTAGTGACCATTTGTGCATGACTCCTGAATTAGACATTTTCTTTACAATACCATTCTTAAAAGTTCTGGTGAGAGGTTCATTATTTTCTTCAAGTTTTCTTTAAGTTATATGATTAGAGCAAGATATGATATCCATTGAAATCACTCCACCAAAAATCTGTCCACGACCCCGAGTATTATCAACCGAGGTATACGACACTTCGATCCATGGAAACTTGTCCACGCCAACATGTGACTCTTACAAACACCTTGATTTTCAAGTGATCCACTTGAATTCAATTTCTTATAAATCTATATTTTATTTTATACACTTATGTTTCTCCATTATTTTCATTAGTCGCTTTAATCTCATTCGCAAAACAAGGAATCACACAAAATTTTTAAAGTGCCCCAATTACTGATGTTACTGCATATTGCATACATTTTGCATACTCATTAGTTAGCTTTTCATGCATTTGTATCACGTTTTAGGTTAGATTGCATCACTTAGGGTCCTAGAGCATTCTTGCATCAGCATACGCATTTTCGTTGCATTTTGCATCACATTCAGGTTGTTTCTGGCTGCTTTGGAGTCATGGAGGTTCGTGGACATGTTGAGGCTGATGTAGCAGTTCGGAGGAGCTCGGATATATGCTAAGGATCAGAGATCGAGGAGCAGATCGAGCATGGCCGGTCGATCTAGGAGTTGATCGACCAGAAGATTGAGCCAACCAGGTGATCCAAGGAGAATGATCGAGACAAGGATCGAGTGAAGCAATCGATCAAACGGTACAGCCATGGGTTTGGAGGAGAGGATGAAGGAGTGATCTATACCGAAAGCCACAGATAGATCTTGTTTAGTTTTCAAAGCTTAGAGATCCTCACCAAGTGAGTCGATTTAAAGTTTTAAACCCAAGGTCGAACCTTTGAAACCCCTGACCATGAATCTCAACCCTAGGCCCTTTCTCTTAGCATCTTTACATCTTATCTCGTTTTTCGCTTGATCTCTGATAGCATCCTGGTCCTTAGTTTTACTGTTCTTGCATTTTTAGACGAGATCGATTGTTACTGCTCGATCTAGTGGTCGATCTCATGGTCGATCCACTAGTCGAATTTTAATAATTCGAAGCTTTCTCCTTTAATTATTATGTTTGTTTCTCGTGGTAGTTTCTTCCTTTCTAGTATTTTTAAAATAGGTTTCATTCCATTTAAGTTGCTGCATCTAGTTTTTAGAGATTTTCTCATAAATCATCTCATTTCGCTTAGATTTGCATTAGTCCTTGTATTCTCTGTGCATTCTCTATCATCCTAGGCATTGATTGACTCTCTCTTGCTTGCTGTACTACAACATGTCTTGCATTTGAGTTTGATAACCTCACTGCAATTTTAACCCTTGTAAACAAGGTGTTTATCAAATGGCGCCGTTGCCATCCTAGGACTGTTTAGAGAACATAGAGATTTGGGACTTAGCAAAGACTAAGTCTTTACCTTTTTCAAGTTACTAATCCTTCTACTCTCAAACGTGTGTTTTCAGGTACATGAATCTTCGTTCAAGGGGAGACAACAATCTACTACAACCCTTAGACAACATTCATCAACTTGGTCACTCACGGCAAAGGAGAGTCAGAGAACAAACAAGAGCCTTTGAGGAGATTGTTCAGCACGGTTTGGTTGACTTTGAAGCTATGGCTGAACACGAGCATCCAGAAGGACCTCCTCCAGCTCACGGGGCAGCAGGAAGGGGCAATGGAAACCCCCAACACGCGGCTAGACCCCCAAGGATCATAGGAGCCGGAGATGCTCCCAATACTCAATCACAATAGGTTTGGGATCACTCCTCCTCCTGTGCAAAACAATAACTTCGAGATCAAGCCAGGTTTCATCTCAATGGTGCAAAACAACAAGTTCCACGGCTTAGCAATGGAAGACCCCTTGGAGCACCTAGACAACTTCGAGCAAGTATTTGGGATGATAAAGATCAATGGCATATCCGAAGATGCTTTCAAGCTGCGTCTCTTCCCCTTTTCACTCGGAGACAAAGCTAGACATTGGGAGAAAACCCTCCCACAAGGCACCATCACCTCATGGGCCGAGTGTAAGAAGGCATTTCTCTCAAAGTTCTTCTCAAGCACCAGGACAGCACGGTTGAGAAGCGAAATCAGCGGTTTCACTCAAAGGAACAATGAGACATTCAACGAGGCAATGGAGCGTTTCAAAGACTACACGATCCAATGTCCTCATCACGGGTTCAGCGAGGAGACACTACTCAGTACCATATACCGTGGAGATTCACCAAAGATCAGGTTGTTGTTTGACACAGCTAGCAAAGGGAACTTCCTCGGTCAGGAGGTAGAAGAG